AGCTTTTACCATCATTTATTATAATATCTGTTAATTCATATGGTTTAGGCTTTTATTTTTGTTGGTTATACTCCACACGAGAGATTATGTTGTGTTGATCATAGACGGGTATCAGATAATCCATGCTCATGTGTACAAACACAGAGGCAATGCATACAATGCATAACGATATGAGGTGAATAGAGTCACGCGGACCAATCAGATGCTGCAAATTGCACAGACATATTAACTTGCCCGTAAACCATACTCTACATACTTCATATGTATAAATCATCGCCAATAAAAAACTAAGGCGCTTGCTAAACTGACATATATACATATTATCAATATGGTGTCAGTATAAAAAGAGACACTTGTTAATCCAACATCTGGATATATTGACAATTTTTTTATTCCTAAAGAGTGTCGGTATAACCAGAGTGACGTGTATTCATTATCAAAAATCTGCAGAGATGGGAAATGCGGACGCAATACCTAACCTTGAATATTGTTAACAATTTGGAATAGGGGTTGAAAAGGATGAACATAAAGCATTTATCCATATCAAAAAAACTGCAGAGATGGGTTATATTAATGGAATATATCTAGTTAATAATATTCTTAAAATGAATAATGGTTATTAAAAAATATGTAACAGTAGATCTGTACTAATACTTTATAATCACGAGTAATTATTGTTGATACGAAAGTTTTTTTTTTTTGCTAAAAAAAGATTTTGAATTTCAGGTGAGATTTCAGATAAGGTCGAAACTTTCGGATTTGGCTAAAAAAAGGTTTCGGTGACCAGCACTAGTAGATCACACCTACTTTGACGATATTTAAGTAAATACTAACGAAAATTACGATTTGCAATTATTACGTTTTCTATGTAGCGCAAATGGAATAAATATGCTATAGATATTGAATTTATTCAATGCCTAATAAAAAAAAAGGTATTAAATACTGGAATATGCACTTTAGTTAATGATGACACGCACTATTCTTTTTCTTTATTTTATCATTACTATCATATATTATAAACTATTACACTATGAAAGTTAACCTTTTAGTTAATTTGTTATTGATTATTTCTTCTTTACAAAATTACCCTATAGTTTATTCTTATGAAGAACCATTAACGAAATTATGGAATCGAAGTAATGATATGATTTGGGCCAAGAAAAGCAATTAATGATGGTAGATCGACGCCTACAGCAATTAATAGAAAGATATACAATAAGTTTTGGAGGAACTTACATAAACGTACAAAAGAATAAAATATTTATTAATACAGTATACCGTACTAAGTTGGGCATTATAAGGGATATTATGCGACGTTATAGATCTTTATTGATTTTCAGACCAGTAAAAAATTCCATATCAGACTTAAGACACACGTTTAACCAAGTATCAAGATTTGCTAAAAGATATAAACCAAAGGCTATTAGTTGTTACATTGATATAAAATCAAATTACGTCGCTTTACATTCATGGCCATTTAATAATGAACAAAATAGAGAATTTTTCGATGCCATCAGACAAATTAGAAAATATAACGAAACTGTAAAACAATTTAATTATTCTAATACACCTGATACTTCACTTTCTTTTATTGAAGCAAATAATGTGGATAGAGGCATAAACATACATACTCGACCTCTGGCTGGAGATATAATATATAATAAAGACACAGGAAGCAGATGTTCAGTGGGTTTTTGGGCAAAGTCAAAAGATTTTAAATCCGATTATTTTATAACCGCAGGACATTGCTCTAGCCGTGTTAATAGTTTGTGCTATTATCGTCCATGGACTACAACTAGGCATAGGAATATTTTAATTGGGTATATTAAACATTGGAGTAGTTTCCCACTTGACGTTAGTTTAATTTTTATAAATAATACTGATTTTGCAAAACTTATTAGTACACCAGTAGCTATAAGAAATACTGATGCTGAACAAAATAAAGAGCTAATTGTTTATGACAACACAGCTGCGTCCAGTCATGGTGCCTATATATGTAAGTCTGGTCAGAAAACACATGTTACTTGTGGATACATAATTGGGTTCAATGGGTTTGCTACAAATTCGAAAAAAGAATTCAAGTATCCATTAACTTTTTCAACCGCGATATCTGATAAAGGTGACAGTGGAGGGGCAGTATTTTCCTATAAACAAGATTTGCAACATGTGAGTCTAAATGGCATACATATTGTGGGTGATCCTGCAGGATTTTTACCACTAGAAATGATTCTTAAAACATTTGAATTAAAGCTTATTTTGAGTGATGGTTCTAGTAGTTAAATTAGAAAAATTATAAATAATCATGTATTATAGTACAGATAATTTTTTAATTATACGTAGATAATTTTAATAGCCATTAATATTGCAGTATTGATTTAGAAGTTTGACTAGATTGTTATATTTGTTTTGTTTATATTTTCTTACTGCTTTTTTTTTCAAATTAATAAATAACATACTGATTAAACGTGAAGCACCATAGGAGACTATGTTAACCATTTTAAATCATATCCAACTTTATAAACAAATAATTGTTTGCTGGAGCTGATGGGAGCGAAGCGAAAGCCTTCAAGCTATACTCTACGAAATTTCGGAAAAGTCCGTTTCCCGGTTACACTGATCCAAATTTTAGGTCGCGTATCCAGAAATTGAACCTAAATCGGGTTAAACGTTTGGATACCAAATTCGTGGTTTAAAATATAGTAGCTGACTTTTAATAAATTATATGTAAAATATAGCAGCTAACTTTCAATCATTTACACGCAAAATATAGTAGCTGACTTTTAATAGAATATATTAACTTACTTTAATAAAAAAAGAATTGTTTATCAGTGAAATTAAGAATTTATATTGTTATAAATATTTCATTGCATCGTAATTAAGCATATTTAATAAGTAAAAGAAACATTGTCATATTTTTTTTTAGTTTAGTCAAATGGAAAAGCAAAAAAAGAACTTACATACCCAAACAAATAGCCATAAAAATGGAACTTGAAGAAAATGAAAAAAAGTTTATTGACTAAAGAACAGCCAAAAAAGTGAATCAGAAAAGAGATAGGTTCACCACAAACATCAGTTAACATCTCAAATCGATAATATTAAAGTAAAAGAGAACATAAATTAAGGCGAACAAACAAATGAAGAAGTAGCCTAAATAAAAAATATTATGTTTAAATCAAAGTTTGAATGAAATAATTAAGTTCATGATATAATAAATTATTTTAGAAAACAAAATATCACCCGCATGTCAACTTATTGATAATGATCGTGACTTCTCAGAAAGTTTTGAGATGGTGTCGCAGACCTTAAGCATAATTATTGCTCTACTTATAATTTTTTTCAGTTATTGGTTGAAACTGAGAGGAGTGAAGTGAAAACCTTTTAAGTCTTACTCTACTGAAAGTTTAGCTCTCACTTCAACAATTGGATATCTGAATTTTGAGTTAAAATATAATGGCTAGATATATAACTGACTTTTAATAAAAGAATAGTTATACTCTACTGAATTCTAGAAATGTCCAGCTCCTGTTTCACTCTGGCCAAAATTTTAGGTTCAATCATCAGAATCAAATCTAAATTAGGTTCAACTTATGTAAATTATGGACGTCCCTATAAATTTCAGATTATTTTGGTTCACTCCTGGATTAACTGTCAGATTGGCCCTAAATTGTTTCTGGATCAATTCAAATTTCAGATTCCAATTGGATTTGAATCAATCCTGGATTAACCAGGATTTTAATCTGATTTGGAATACTAACACAAATCCACTTATCAATTTCATCAGTTAAAAGATCTTTTTTTCCACTTTGATAAGTATCTCTTTTTTCAATATTATAAATAATAGCATTCTATTTTGGATATCCTCTTGCCAATAAATTTACTCTAACATTCACCAACATTTGTTCAAAATTCCAGCAATTACTATAAGAAAACCTCATGTTTTGCAAATAAATCCCTAATCTGTGCCTGTAATTTTACCAAAAACTCTTCAACATTATCAGGACTTGTAGAAAAACAATATGTTTCAAGGAGTTTGATATTTTTTTGCACCTCAAAATAACTATAGTTTCTGTTCAACAAGTGGTTTAATGCCTATTTGTGGTATATCATTTTGTTTACCATTTTGATTGTAGTTCCTGGCCCAATTTATACAATTGTAAAAAAATTCACCTTCGCTTTAATAGTTTTTGGCTCAACCTATAACAATTCTAAAAAAAGTTACCTTCGTTTCAATAGTTTCTGGCCCAATCTATACAATTTTAAAAAAAAGTCACCTTCGCTTTAATAGTTTCTGGACCACATATAACAATTTTAAAAAAGTTAGTCCCACTTTGTTGCCCAATCTATTAGGAACTTGAAAAAATTTCAATAATCTCACGATAATTAAGATCGAACTATCCAATAATAAAATTATTGGATAGTTTACTATCATAAGCTGTAAATCATTAATGATCACCTATCCAATAATAAAACTATTGGATGGTTTGATCATAGTAAAATAAATTAAGAGATGATCATATATATAGCTCATTGTTGTTTATCAAACAATCAAAAACGATCTACATTACGAGACATCAG